GTATCGATGTTGTTGATAGAAATATGGACAGACTTGTATATGTCTAGATCTATCCAGCTGGAATGCTTGATTTAGCCGAAATAAGGATCTATAGCGTAAAGATTGTTAAATCAGCTCGAGCTACCCCGGAACGTCATGGTACTCCTGGCTCGATCATTGAAGTGTCTTCGGCACAGACTCCGTAAACGCATCGCTCCACATTTACCGACTTTCGCGACGTGCAATCCACTTTGCATCCACGCTGCCATATGAAAACAAACACGTACTAGACAATCGCAGAATTTTGTATTTTTATATGATTTTTATCGATGGACCCGACGTTTACTTACGTGATTACCGGCAATTGTTCTCTCCCTAGAGTCGAAGATCACACTTTGTCTCAGCGCTATAACGCTTCATTCGACGAACATAAAGAAGGGAGCGAAACATCGGGATCGGAGGCAGTGATATGATGAACCAGAAGTAGCACTTCACTTTACGTTTTCGAGTGAAGAGGAACACTTCACTCGCGACTCGTGCGTTTCAGCTGTTCACATGGCCCGAGATTTCCGTAAACACACGACGGTTTCAACTTCGTTTCCTTCTCATTAAGTGACAAATACGTCATGGGTAGGTCGCCAAATGCTGATCGATGTTAATCATAAGTATATTTAGACTTTTCTTCTGTTTACAAATTTCTTCTTAGGAAAAGCAATTATTATAGTAGATTCTTGGCTACATATGCATATGACATTTTTTAAACAAGGATTGTTTGAGAGAAGCATTTTGCCGCCGGCTTTCTAAATTTTTGTATACAATTGTGCAATTAGGTTTCTCGCAAATTAAAAATCTATTAAAGTGTGTCTCTGTCATTTGTGTATTCCCTTTTGAAATAGATTTACAGGAAGTACTTTTCTTTCAGCTCGTAATTTTCCAAAACCACGCGCAATTTCTCGGAATTTTCTGAAAAGAAAACAATCTTCGGGGATCGTTACAAATCTTTTCCCCGAGCGTGAATTAATGAAGAGTAAAATTTCATACGTAACGCAAAACGTATAAATTTTTTATTTTTTTATATGACTTTTTTACATAAAATTCTTCAGCAAAAAAACAGCAAAAGATAAAAAATTCTCTAAAGATTTATGATCAACCTCCTAGATTGTATACATCTATTCGAGGAATTGATTAACAACTCTCCAATAAAGAATTTTTTTATTGAGTACGAGAACGAGAATGATTATTTTTTGCAGTTTTCAGCTCTGCATATGATTAAAAAATTTTTTCAAATTGCTTTATCACATATCATCAATCGTAAAAAATTTGCAATTAAAGTTGCAATAAAGAATTATTATATTCTTGAAGCTTCCACGGATGCTTTCTATATAAAAGTTATGCGTTTCGCGGGTTTCCTCCGTGTCCAGATCCATTCTTGAAATTAAATAACAATAAAAACAAGGGCAAAGTAAGAGTCAACGCATTTCTCTGAAAAAAATCATACATGTGAAGGTACAAATTAAAAATACAAAAAATAATAAAAAAGAAAGAAAAGATATATATTAAAAACAACAAGTAAAAATGATAATAAATTAAAAAACATTACAAGTTTCGGCTACCGGATTGAGCCCTCTTCAGACATTAATATATAAAAAAAACCGCAGTACAAAAATAATTAACGGAAATGTTCGCATAATTACAGTTCGGGTGAGTCTTGATGTAAAACTCGACATTATTCGCAGTCAAATGTGTTTCGTATCACTTGAAACAGTTCAAAAACACAATTTATATATGAAGAGTCCTTGAATTGTTTTTTATGCATTCTTGAAATACCAAATGATACTGATATTAGGCAGCTCTTCGCACCGATGGTTTGCAAGGTTCGAAACGTTGGCATTTCAAGAATGGATCTGGACACGGAGGAAACCCGCGAAGCGCATAACGTTTATAAAGAATTATTATTTTAGCGTGCAGTGTACATTGTCATATTATAACCACAATGTATGACGTACGTATTGGATAAATTTTATTGCAATTAACATATTCCGTGTAGATTACCTCGTAGATAACCCACGAAGTAGTCTACGTTGGAATCTTCGTTCAAGTCGTTTTGATTATAAAAAGAAATTATAAAATAATTTTTGATATTATGATACAAAATTATGATGTAAATACATACAATGTTGATATATTAGGCCTTCTCTTTTTTTATATTAATAATTTTTATAATTTTTAACAGGACATGAAAATAATACGTTACTTAAGTTATTGTTAAAGTTTATACAAAAAAAGATAACACAGACTTTATTAGTCCGTTATTAAAAAAAAATAACTTGTAACGCTGTTAGCGTTACAAGTTATTCGTGACGATCGTGGCACTTCTATTACGAACTGATAAATTTAAACTAATTATGTACAAAAGTATGTTGACCCTGACCTACCATATAACAGATTTTAGGTTAATGGTTGATGTTTTATCGTTCAAAATTAACGATAAAAAAAATTGGAAAAATGTTATCTCTTTTCTATAATGTAAAGCAAAAATTTTAAAGATATCTATTTTAAAGATTATTTTACGATTTTCCACGCGAAGCGATTCCCACCCATCTCCCCCCCCCCCCCCTTAAAATA